GGTCGAGGGGGTGAGGGGGGGGGGTTGACTTTTTCTTTCTTTCTTTCTTTCTTTCTTTCTTTCTTTCTTTCTTTCTTTCTTTTTTTTGGTTGTTTCACGCATGCAAATACCAAGTACACAGTCCTAGTCCTAGTCCTAGTCCTGGTCCTAGTCTTAGGTCCTAGTCTTAGGTCCTGGTCCTGGTCCTATAGTATATACTACACTATACCTGTATACCGGTATGGAACGAAGTAAGTAAGACAGAAAGAAAGTAAGAAAGTAAGAAAGTAAGCAGAGCCCCGTTCCATGTGTTCCAACCCCCCCCCCACTAGCTAGCTAGCTAGCTAGTTACAGAGTTACATAGTTGACGAATATCATGTCATATGCGACGTAAAAGAAAGAAAGATGGTGTGTAGTAGAAGTAGCTTTGTATACGAACCTGGTATATATATATATTTACATGTGTGTGTATGTGTGTGTATGAACAAGGTACATATATATATATATACGGACTATTTTTTTATTCCCTGTTTATATCTCTTCACTGCACTGTACTCCACTCCCCACATGCCACATGGCTGGGTATGGGATGTAGGTAGGTATGTAACGGCACATGGGTATCCGTGCGGGCATCCATGTACCGATCCTTGTTGGACTTTACTTTATCGGTTTCACTTGCTCATTCCATGTACGTACGTACGTACGTAAGGATAGTAAGGATGGACAGATGGACAGATGGACGACAGGGTAGGAAGATTGTTTACGCATGTCATGGTGTGACATGTCATGGTGTGACATGTCTTGGTATGGTTTGCGCTAGTGTATGGATTGTGTGTTGTGTGTGGTGTGTTGGAAGTGAGGACATGTCGAGTGAGAACATGACAAAGATTTGCTTACTTAGTCGTATTTGATGACTAGTTGGGTGTGTTTCGGAATGGATGGCTGGGTAGCACACTTGCACCTACATACTATGCACTTGTACTCAGACTCAGGCTTGCATACATGGTCACATACTCGTATGCACAGATAAGTCGATAAACACGCAGATAGATAGACAAGTGCAAAAAAAACAAGTCGGATGTTTTTTCCCGATTGGCGACAAAACCCGCGCGGGTCTAAGCTGAGACAATGTGTGGCCTGTGTGTATTTATCAATGCTAACTATATCACCCATTATTAATAATATCATGCACGCACTCTCCGAGAAACTAGTAGAAAGACATTCCGAGAATTGTTTGTAGGGTTGGAAAAGAATTGGATAGGATTGCATAAGCAAATGACAGATACATTCATGTATGATAAGCACATGACTTGTGGCGGCGGCGGCGGGGTGCAGGTAGTGTGGAGAAATGTGGGGTGTGCAACAGTCAAAAGGAAAAAGGAACAGAAAAAGGAAAACGGACGCATGAGGTAAGATGGCAACGTTCAGTTTGCGGTGGCGGTGGAAGTTGTAGGTGCAATGGCAGTGGCGGTGATAATGGTGGCGGCGCGGGTACGGCGGAAATTTGGTGTGCATTTGCGTGGTGCAAAAGGCTAGAGGTAGAATGGATGGATGCTAACGTGTCTGTGTAAGTGTTCAATGGTTCAACCCCGGTATCGCCCTAAAACACGCCTTGTGTGGTGATGATCATCGTGCCGCTTCCCCGCCGGAGGGTTTGGTATGGGAATTGCCGTTGGGTTTGCACAGGGCCTGGATGTATGCAGGTAGGATATATGTATGTATGGAGCCATAATATGAAGCTGTGCGGGACAGATATCAATGTACCAGGTCATATTGTGCCGCAAAAGGAAGTTCGTTTCAGAGCAGTGGGCAGATGATTCCATTTGCTCGTCTCGTCCTCAGCAATCTCACCACGAAACCGTGTAACCGAGGAAGCCGCGGAAAAGCATCGAGTGAAGAGGGTGATATTAGTCGAGTATGACCTGTGTGCGGCAGATGTGAGCGGTACAAGTGCCAATGCCAATGCTGTGTGCACCAGCAAGCACGACAAACGTCCAGAGGGCAGCGCCCGGCCCAGGTCGTAAGTATGTACCTATTCTACATAGCCCCGGGGCAATCTGCCGAGTCAAGACAATCGGCTTTGCAGTGCTGCCACGGTCATGTACCCTGAAGCAGTTGCTTGCTACATAGGTATTGGCTGGGCCTTACGAGACATTCGGACCGGACCCTTGGGATTCTTGTGTAGTACGTACGTACGTGCGTGCACTTGGGTGGGGGCCAAGGCAGTCTTAGTCATGGTTTTTTTGCGCAAGAAAACAGCGGGTTGGGCTTCAAAAATGGGCCCTCCTCACCCCCCCCCGTCGGTACCAAGGAGCCCTGTTTGATCAGAGCAGGGTGCGTGCTCGGGCTGACAGTCAAAACGGGACTTGCTGTTTCCGTCATCAAGGTCGCGATTGCGCTACACCTATGCTTCCAACGGTCATCTCGCCTTGGGCGGGTGCATCTTGTGGCGGGTGAGTATGTGTGTATTGGATGGTGCAGGGAGGCGGTGGGCGGAGCCTGATGGGTAACGGAGCTCCGAAACGTTAATGATTGCGATGGGCCGTCTTGTGGGAGCATGGCATTGGGGGACAAGGGCGGCGGATGGAGGAAACGGACATTACATGTGATGATGATAAGGCTGTGTAGGGCGTCTGGACCTGAGGCTCTACATGTAGAGGTACAGACAGACGTGGGTGGAATGCAGACAGGTTTGCGCAAAGTGGAAAGTGGGCAAGGGCAAGCGTAGAGCGGGCCGGAGCTCTCTTCCAGCCGAAGTGCAGCATTGCGGCGACTTGCAATTTCGGCTGCTAGTAGACAGCGTTTCCGGGGTCAATGTCGCATTGATGCGTTACAGTCGTGTGCTTAGCGGGCGGTGCGAGGGCCGGACGTACATAGGTTCATGCTGGGGTATTGCCATCGATAGGTAGCCGCTCCAGGCAAGGCCAGTGGCGCCGACAGGGCTGGCGATTGGAGTGGGCACCCGCTGGGGTGGTTGAGAGGCGGTCGGGGTGAGGCTGGTGCGTTGCAGGCGAGACGGCAGCAGGCGATTGTGCTGTTGGGCCAGGCGCGAGAGCTTGAAGGTGCAAGGCTCGAAGATGCCAAAGCCGTGTGAGTGTCTTGGATGCCGAATGACGAAGCGGAGCAGGCAGACGACGCCCCCCGTCCCCACCGGTCCAGGTGGTCGGGTACAGCAGGTCGAGACGATCGGCGCCACAGCAGCAAGTGTAGGCGTAGGCATCGTGTCAGGCTGGATGGGGCGCTGCCCGCGAACCAGCTCACAGGGAAGGCTGCATTCGTACCCACGCCACCAGCACGGCGGCGGTATTCTCGGCGGCGCCAGCGCAGCGAGGGCGAGGGCGAGGGCGCGGGCGATGGAATGCGTGATGGGATGGAGGGATGGAGGGATGGAGGGATGGAGGGATGGAGGGATGGAGGGATGGAGGGATGGAGGGATGGAGGGATGGAGGGATGGAGGGATGGAGGGATG